ATAGCTGCAGCCATCAAGGGGGTTGACCCATCAGCCTTTGCAACACTTGTGTCAGCTCCAGCCTCGAGCAAAAACTGCACAACTTCCAAGTGGCCTTTCCGTGATGCAACCAGCAAGGCGGTTAGCCCATCTCCCCCTGTCGCATTTGTGTCAGCTTTGGCCTCGAGCAACAACCGCACCACTTCCAAGTTGCCAATGACAGCCGCAAGCATCAAGGCGGTTGACCCATCAGCCCTTGCAAGACTCGTGTCAGCTCCAGCCTCGACCAACAACCCCACCACTTCCAAGCGGCCATTGATAGCTGCAGCCATCAAGGCGGTTTGCCCATCTCCCCTTGCCGCATTTTTGTCAGCTTCAGCCTCGAGCAACATCCGCGCCACTTGCAAATGGCCAATGGCAGCCGCAAGCATCAACGGGGTTGACCCATCAGCCCTTGCAACACTCGTGTCAGATCCAGCCTCGAGCAACAACCGCACCACTTCCAAGTGGCCCTTCAGAGCTGCAGCCATCAAGGCTGTTACCCCATCTGCCTTCGCTGCATCCTTGTCAGCTCCAGCCTCGAGCAACAACCGCACCACTTCGAAGTGGCCATTGATAGCTGCAGCCATCAAGGCTGTTACCCCATCTGCCTTCGCTGCATCCTTGTCAGCTCCAGCCTCGAGCAACAATTGTACCACTCCTAAATGGCCCCGTTCTGCTGCAACATTCATAGGTGACTTTGACAGAGATGAAGGGTCAGCCTCTGCAGGTATCCTATTCAGATCCAGTGGTTTCTGAAGCAATTCTTCAACTTCAACAACTTGATTTGTGTCACACGCAAGAAGTAGAGCCTTCCAAGCAGTCTCATCAGGCGAACAGAAGTCCAGGACTACCAACTGCACACAAGAGTATCTTTGTCTGAGAGGCATGTCATCCTGAAGCTCGCCCATGTCTTCACCCAAGAGTCTTTGTCTAAATCTGGAGTATCCAAGCCGGTTGGCCAGGAGCTTCTTCAGATCCCTAACAGAACTTCCACTCTTCACCATGCAGCCCAGTTCCTCCTCATGAAGCTGGGTCACAGTGGCACCTGAGAGTGTTGTAATCTCCATTCCTCAAGTTCGAGGCTTAAAGGGGTGTACGGTGTCAGCCAAAATGGCTACGGCTGGGGTGTGAGGATTCGACATTGGCCCGTGCTGCACTGCAGTTCACCTTGACCAAATATAAAAGCCAAACTATGGCAACCTACCGGGAACTCCAATTCCATCCAGCACTGGTTCTCACCGTGAAAGCCATGAAACTCCCAACACTTCCGCCCGAACAACCCATCGGTCGTCCGGAGGTTCGGCGAAGTGGCACGTGCTGCATGTTCAGCAACATTCGGTAACTGTGAAGGTCTTCCTGGGCCAAAAAGCTCCAGAGCTTGGTATGCCTTGGAGGGACCGAGTTGAGAGAGCACGGTAGGAACACGGTCGGCAGGTTGGTAGGAAAGTGAAGTCGATGGGAGCCCACGAATGGTATGATGGTTTTCCAGAACAACAAGCGGGAGTTAAAAGTCTTATCTATGTATAGATTTAATTCAATAAAGAACCGCTACTCATCTGAGTTTGCCCAACTCTAGGATCCTAGAGGAGCCCTCAAGTGATCAGAACGTGGAAAGACCTGAATTACACTGAATGCTGCTTCTGGGAGAACAATCAATGCTTCTGTCCCGGTCTCAGCCCGGGAAAAAGGTCCGTCCGGGACGAACGACCCCAGGGACCCATCAATCCAGAACATGCCCCGGCCCGCGGCCTCCTGAATTAAGTAGGCGCCTACTTGATTAAGGGACAAACTTGTGCGCTACTAGGACGCTACATGACGCTACTACATTATGGACGCAGGATAGCTCACGCTTCTTCAAGGAAGCTTCCCCCGCCTGAGCTCCTCGGAGAAGCGCTCGCACTGTCGATTTGGTTCCCTAGATTTTTTTGGGAAACTTACCTTCAACACTTTATGTCACATGCTTCAGACACTTCATTCAGTTGGTCGAGCAATGATGAAGGAACATTGCTGGCTGAAGGAATCCAGCAGCACCAGCCAATAGGTTTCAGTGATATAGTGAAACTCAAACACTACACGTATGGAATATATGCCTGCATTGACCCCCCAACCCACCTCAATGTACGTAAATATGCCATATTGTGGAGTGTCTGGCTATGAGAGGCAATGAGTTCAGTCACCCGGATATGAGGTGATACAAATAGCTTGTTCTCGCTAAGTCTTCACCTCTCTTCCAGTGCCCTTTTTCTGCGGCTTTGCCTCCACACGTACTACAGTTCCAAACTTTCAAATGTTTCATGGTGTGATTTCTGAAATGATTGGACCCCCAACATTCCATCACGTTTATTGTACAGTTTTCACGCAACTTCAGACAGTTCTGACGCTCCGAATTATTCCAATGTACTTGATTGTCCATTAAGATGCGCAAGATCTAGATCAACACGTGGGTTGAAACTTTGGGGAGTCGGTCAGAGCAAGTTCAACAGCAATCTTGAGAAGGAAGAGACACCTCTATCATTGATCTTGCTCAGAGAAAAGATCAATGCACCTCCAAAATTGGCCAATCCTTCCTCGATCAAGTCTATGTTCTAGTTTCTATCAACGGACTATTTTTCAGGATTGACCATGCAGTTATGCATGAGTGACGGCATATATATTTGTTGTTAAACTAAACTCAAATACAGTATCTACTATGTGGGGGCCTATCTCGTTTAGACTACTTTAGTGGGATGTCATGTCACAGCATCTCGTTCAAACTACGTTAGTAGCAAATCACAGTATCTCATTCAGATCACTTTAGTGTCATCAAACAAATCATCTCATTTATGTGGGGGCCCATGCTAATGTTGGACAAATAAATATACAAAGCATGCCACGCTGATGATGGACAAACATATATACAAAGGATGCCGTAGAGTAGACTACTTTAGGATACTTTAGGCAAGACCAAATAAAAGTGGTTGCTCATGTTAGTTGTACTTAACGGTTATATAGCTCTAGGATGCTCAAGGTCACTACTATAGACCACATGCTAAACTTGGTCTTTTGGAAGTTGTAGGAAAGGAGTGCCAAGGTTATGTGCCCCTTCTGTGCCCAAGCTACAACATCTCCTTGGTGACCTTCAGCACAGTGTCTCGGTCCTTATCGACAGTAAAAGACCCCAAGCCAGCTGGCCTCATCCATGCATCAAAGGGTGTCCTTGGAAGGTGCTCAGCTTCAAGTCTGCAACAAGCTCTGACACGGCATCTGCGCAGGGTCTCAGGATGAACCCATTTAGTTTGACCAATGGTTCGGTAAAATAGCTCGGCCTCCAAAAAGCCTTCCTGGTAAAATAGCTCGGCCCACCCCAAACAAAAGCCTTCCAATATCGTTTGCGAACTTCATCCCCTCCAGATCGGCCAAGCTAGCTCGACCCAACGGGCACGGGCAGAAAGAATTTGGAGTCCCCCTCATCCAATGGTAGGTAGAAGAATTAGACCAAAATCATACCGCCCATACCCTGTGGATATCTCCAAACCATCTCAAACCAGATTTGGTCCGCCCAATGGCCCAATAAATCTACCAACCTGCTGCTTGGCCTCATAATGTGTATCTTCTGGACACTCTCGATGACGACAATCTTCGCATCCTTGGTCAGGAAGTTCGCTGCGACTTGCTCCAGTCGGCACCACCCACGCTCAGACCAGGTGTGTTTGCTCAAAAGCTCGCCCGTGTCGACATGCTCGACGGCTGGCGCCAGGATCACAAAAAACTTGCATCTCCTGAGCTCGAATCGACGCCCAGTTGTTGATGCACCACCAGTTGTTGATTTGTGCCAAGAGGTGACACCTCTCTATGGCTGGGGAAATATTGAATTGTATCCAAGGTAGCAAAGCTCCCAACAAGCGATTGGAAAATATCACAATCCAATTAGCGTTTGCAAGAGGCCGCACATGGGTGAGCCAACAACTCAAATTCTTGGGGATAAAGGCGTTTGAACATCCCAGCGAGCTTTAAAAGACACCGCTCAATTTGTAGTGACTTGAGCAAATGTGGATCCCTTTTTTGAGTACGCCGTCAGTAAGCAATGAACCATGGACCCTTGACAAACCAATCCCATTCCTGTAGCAGATGCGCATGTGACACTCTCTGGACGTTGCGCGGGAAGAAAGCCATTCACGCAAAAATCGCCCTATAGTACTTGGAACACATTTCAGAAAGTCATCTATGTACTGAATGCTGCAGCATGAGTAGAACATCCAAGATACCTGAAGAGGGGGCCCGATCCATCAGGGGGCCCAAGTCATGTGATGCCAATCAAGTGGACTCACGGCCACCAAGCACTTGTTCGCACTTGTTCTCATGGTCATCAGTCGTCACGTGAGGGGGAAAAACAAAAAAAGCACACTCAGACTTTAAGTAGCAGGGATAGTGGGGGGAGGTGCCCTGCAGCTCATGAGATTTGCAGCTTGGTGTCTTTACATAGCTTGGGATGCTCTCCACTGCCTTTTGCAGGTCCGAGCCCATCTCATCCACTGACACTGACGCACTTAGGTTGTCCAACTGGGGAATCGAGAAGTAATCGTACCTGTCAGGCGGATTGAGCCAAACGTTCAGACGCTTTTTCAAAAACCTTCGAGGGCAACCACATGGGAACATCCATGAAAAAAAACACTTTGCCCATGGCCTTTTCGTCGTCGATGAACCACAGCGAGCGATCTGGGGACCCCTATGTGCCGCGAAAAAAAAAGACGGACCGGCTTTCCTTTCAATCTTTTCATACGAACCAGATATATAGTTTGTATAAGTACCACACTATAGTAAAATAAAAATCCCAAAAGAATGAGAAATCATATTCCCGGGGCTCCTGGCCCGCATCCCCAGGTTCGGTGGTTGGGGTGGGTGCCAGGGGGGTCTAACCACCTGAGGATATGGGCCAGGAGCCCTAGGGATTATTCATTTCTTAAGGCGTGTGGTCCCGTGTGGGTCCTACATGGTCCTACCATACTTTGAAGTCTTTGGCTTTCACAAACTACCTCACTGCACTAATGATCGAGAGGATGATGAATGGATTGGATCACGGATAAAAGAATAGCCCCAACATGCCCCCTAACTGACTGATTGAAATCTACAAACAAAAAAACGATTCGGCCCCATTTCTACATATTTAACCTGGTGATTAAAGGAACCAGATTGACAATCTGAACTATGAACTTCCATGGTCGGTCAAAGTCCACATAGTTCGACACCTACCAACCCCTTCTCCGCGCCAAGCGGCCAAATCAGCAAAGGTTTGGCTCGCCATTCAGCTGAGGAAATCTTCGCACCATGTTTGAGTACCTCGGTTGGCACCCAGCGACACACGAATCAACCCGCACGCACCCACACTGGTGTCGGCCCACCGGTCGGCATGCACAACATGAGTGGCTCCGAAACAAACTGTTCAGGCGAAAGAGACCTCGCAGCTGTCACAACTCGTTATTCCATTTCATGTCACCACATACATTGGGGTGGGCCGCATCGCTTCTCACAGCTTTTGACAACCGTAGACTTCAGTTTGGAAGGGAGGCATGGCTCGTTTTCAGGAAAAATGTCAATGCAAGTTAAGTATGTATGTGCACGAGTACTCAAGGGAAACAAAAGTAGAAACAAACTTCACTCGGGCCAAAGCCAACAGCAAAGGTCAGCAGAATTCTAGGAAGGTCAGCAATGGCCAAGCTGTTTCTCGCAACATCTTTGTTGGTTGCAAACCACTCCATGTTCCAGAGGGCAAGTGGTGGACTGGCACGATCGAGGGCATCACTTGCCTATGGGCGTCGCTTCAAATCCCTGAGTTTTGGCCTCCTGCAAAGAGTTTGAAGACAACAGCATCATTCAAGGGGGACCAAGGGTTGACCTCTTACTTTTAAACATTCATGTCATGATCCATTTTAGATCAAGAAGCTAAACATGGAACACACACATGTCAAACAAATATACATCAAATACTCTTAAGACAATGTGCATTCTTCCTGTTCTGCGGATCGCCTGAGTGGGGGGGGTGCAATCGCTTCCCTCGTTGATTCCAGGCAGCTCACATCTTCCGCTCTGCATACCGTGTCTTGAGGTCTCCGAAACTCAGCAGGTCGTTTGTTCAAGACCAAAACAACCACGACACATGCGGCGAAGGCGCAACATAGGTAGCAAGGTTAGACTTGACCGACAGGTTTGTCCTGAGAAGGTAGGTCAACGTCTGTTGCAGCACGCAAAGCTGATGGAAGCGTGGATCAGGATGCTCAAAACTAGCCTGTGCAGCTGGGCCCAAACGGCACAAGACCTAGATCGAGATGCATTTTTGCCTACTTGGATGAAGGTGGTCCAACTAAGCTCTGGCTCTACATGTTTTGTATAGATAATCCAGTGTTTCACACCTCAACAACCCTAGTATCACAAGCAGGTGCAATCGCTGCACGATATTCATGAACATGATCATAGAGAAAACCATGGAAAAAAAAGCGAGTTGGTCTTTTCTTCGACACGTGAAGATGATTGAATATGCCCATTTGCATCTTCTCTTGGGAGCCATATCCAACCCATCCCGTCTTAGAGCTATTGATCATTGTTGAAAATACACACGTCACTCAAAGTCGATGCCACGTCACCCAGAAGCCACGAGAACGCACGGTGTCGCAGCAACGGAAACGCTGGCAAGAATCAGCAACACAACTCTTCCCACTTCCCGTGGAGGTTTCATGTAGTGGTGTTCTAGCATGTTTAATTGGGTAGACTGGTCTAGTTCCCTTCTTCCAGGGGGTCGAGCTGCGAGGTGTCCCTAGTTTAATACACGCCCAGATTGCATGACCCCCCCCGGCCGAAGATGGACCCTGCTTCAGCTAGTCGTTGAACGAAAACCAAGCAGCCCATTGGTGTGAGACAAACACTGCATTTCCTTGGTTTGATTGAGGCGATAAATGAATCACTTTGATGCAGTGATTCAATTGGTTGCTTTGTTCAACCGACAAAGCAACATCTAAATAAGCCCTAAAATGTTTCCCAAACAAGCGCCTTCCCAGAAGAGTTTGGGGAGTCTTGGAAGTAAATGAAGCAGGCGGCATTAATTTAATGGCCGCCCCAAGAAGAAGGTAGTTGTATAAACATGTTCAGCTCCAAACCAACGCTGCAAGCAAAAGGCACAAACACTTTCTGACACAAGAAACACTGGAAAAGTAAAATCAAAGCATGTTTCAGATACATCCAGGCTTCCCAGATCTTCATGATATTCCAGCAAAATGCCTTCTTTCATTAATTCTCGCTGCGATTTGGCGGACGACATGCTCAAAAACGAGCCCAAAGGCACCACATACCTCATCGCGGCCGAAACGGTTCTGCCGAACTGGTTTCATTGAGACAATCAAGGCAAACCCAATGGATCCAGTGACCAATATAGCTGGGAACCAGTGGTTCCAAAGCCGTAGGGCCATAGACCTAGAAACCCTGGTTCCTTATGGTTCCTATATATAGTGGTCACTGGGATGCACTAGCCACGCGATCCGGTCTTTCGACCCAGTTCTGGGTCACAGAAGCGTTGAAGAATGGCGGATGTTGAGCTCCAAATCAAAAAAAGAGAAGTGTCGAAGTGTTGCGAAGGTATGTGGCTCCAACACTCCATAAGGTATGTCATTCAACATCCTCCCTCCACTCCACCCGCAATTCACTGTTGTGCCCAAGCACATGGGGAAGCTGCCCACATGGGCACTCGCTCTTTGACCCAACCCCCTCCGGCGTAGTGCTGCTTCTGCAGTCGCTGCGCGCGACCGAGCGGCTGACATGGCCGCACGGCGGACATGGAGCCAAAAAGGTCTGCGTGGCCGATGAGATGGATTGAATTGAAGGTGATGGAAGCCCTACAGGTCAAACACCTCATTTTACTGGAGTTGATCATACAAAAACACTACTCAAGGACCAGGTTGTGTATACTGGGTCAGATTGGACATGTCGGAGAAGTATGCACCGTCCAACTCCCTTCGCATGTCGGGAATGGACCGAGTTGGGAACTTGTTCCATGGCTTTTCGAGAAACATCCGCTTCAAACTTTTGATCAGTTTGATCAGAATTCGGCTCAGAACATCGGGAGGGGTGTTTGCGTCTGGTTCCACCGTGAGAAGAAGTCGCGTGCTTTCCATGGCGAAGCAAAGGGTTGTAGTGGTTTACCGAAAGAAGACGCTGCCAGCCTGTCATTCCAGCGAGCTCCAGTGCCAGGCTGCCATGAACCACCACTGAATCTGTGAATCATGACGGCCCCCGAACACAAATGTTTGACGACCTGCAGAAGTGTTACACCATGTGCATCATCATGAGAATGGGAAGTGAGGATGATGATGTAAGCTTATTTAAGGTGTCGGTTCCAAGCAACGAAAGCTGTTCAGAGTTCGGATATCTTTACTTTGGATGGTAGAGATCCTATATTGATAACTTGGGCCTCCACAAACATCTGCCCACTTGCGCAGTAAACTTGGGGAGAACATGGGAGAACCAACAACCAAAAACTTGAGCTTGAAAGCTCAGGCACTGCCCGCTCTCCCCCGGACCGCATGGCCTCCACTTGCTGTTGCTCCAGCAACGCCAGCTGATCAGCCTGTGCCTGGCGAATCATGTTTTACTATTTTGCGGCAAAACACCTGAAGCAGGAACATGTGTGGTTTATATACTATACACATGTATTGTACAATTTACTATATTGCATATATCTACTTTTATATCTACACGTATATCTACTTTTCTGCTGTGACCTTCTAGTCCTAGCGTTTGGGGTCCATTGTGGTGTTTCCATCTTGTCTCTTCCTTAGCTTGCAGATAATCTGCAGTATCTATCCGTATTTACCGTTAGATTCCAGACCAAGGACAAATGAAAATAGCCCTTGGGGTGTCAGCTCCTGGACTTTCTCAAGACTGGGAGCCTGGAGCCCGCCCGGCCTTCCGCTGCCGCGTGGCTTCCGAGGATTCTTTGAACGCCTGGAGGCGTCACGGGTGGCTGGAAGATGGGCGCGCTTGTGATGAACAACCGACATTTAGTCCGACGATATATACATAATTATACATGCATATATAATATAATATAAACTGATATTTATATATATATGGCACAATGATGGTACAAGAACCCGCTGGTGCATGAAGAAGACACAGTTCTACATATCTATCAAAGGTAGTTTCAGGTTGCTCTGTAGGTTTCTCAAAATTGGAGACATTTGAAATCTGCCTTGGCTCCCACTCATCGTCTTTTGTGGGAAGCTCAGAACACACCGCTGGTTGGCTTTGCCAAGCGTTGCGCGTCGCGGCTTTCACGCCGTGGGCGTCGAAAAGACGGTCTCCAAAGAGGGAGCCCACTGGGGATCAGTGGATCGGGCTGATCAGGCTCTGAAAACAAAAATAGACCATATAGTCACTGTATGTCAGCTGTATTGTGTGCAACAAGCTCTTGCACCATACCTGTCTGGAGATCTCTACCCCAAACACTCCATGTGTGGAGTGTATGCCTACATTGACCCTTCCAACCACTGACCACCCCAATGTAGGCATATATTCCAATACATGGAGTGTCTGGGTCTTGGATGGTAGTCAGGCATAGTCAAACATAGTCAGGCTATGGTGAGTTTCTCATTCGTCCAGGTGCGCCTTCACATGCAGGTCCTGCTCCCAGCGCGTGCCGTTCGGACCGGACCCACCGACCTGATGAGCTCGCTCTCGACGGGCTTTCTGGCGTTCCTCCGTGGAGGAAGGGTCCGGTGGCATCGAACAAACAAAAAAAAGAAAATGTCACAGGAGAGATCTGTCATCAGCTATAATTCATGTATATCATTGTATGTGTATATTATATATAGCATGCAGCATGTCCTAACTGTTGATCTGGTCACAAGCAACTTTCGGAACGTGTGACATCTCGCAAAATGGTCTGGCAAAAGGAAGAAAGCGGGTCCGGCAGCCCGGCGACCCAAAACCTCTCCGCACCACCCAGGAACGGTTCAGGCTGTAGAAGTTCAATGATTTTTAGCGGTCATGTGAAAAAAACAACAACAACAACAGAATAGTAGTAAAAACTAGGGAGGCTAATAATATATGTATCCCGCTCTTGTAGGGAGGCCAATTGTATCGAGTATACTACATGAACTATATATATGTGTATTGTTACTTATTCTACGGATGTAATGTTATCTTATTATAGTCTTTGGTAATGTCTCTCAATGCCCACCCAAGCAGTCCTCGGTATCAAGCTTGTCTCGCAAGGTCTCATGATCTTAGTGGTTTGGGAAGGGCTGGTCAAGGCTGGTCAACGAACATGGAAGCAATGCCCCTGGTGGACCCAAGAGCTCTAGGGGGATTGTATGGGATTGTTAAGACAAGTCCTTGTGGAGAGCTGACTCCTTGGGTTCTTCGAGGTGATTGCAGTTGATGATTATGAAGATGGCTGGCCAGTGGCACAGTAGTGCTAAACATCTGACACAGTGACACAGTAGTGGCACAGTGCCACAGTAATACTAGCAACACATTTGACTTCAAGTGGTCTCTTGGTATGGTTGATTCTGTACGTAAACAACCTTACTCTTGCTTGCGATTGAATCAAGCTTGAAGCTGCCCCCTTTCCTTCGAACTGGCAAAAATAAACCGGCTTTGTCCATGTGTGTGTCCTTGGCCGCCTTGGCCTTCGGCGAAAAAAACATGGTTCCTCAAAAGAGGAATGCCGACGGCGTGGCAGTGTTCGACTGGGGTTCACCCACGAAGGCTCTTCATCAACTCCTTCTTTTCTTCCACCTCCTGTGCTTTCTCCTGCGACACTCAAGAAATTGGTGTTAGCCAGCTGTCATGCGACTCAATAAACTGGTGGTGTCATGTGGAAAAAAAGAAGAGTCATCATACCTCCTCATTGTTCCAAGCTATAATGAGAAGAACCATATAGACAAAACCATAACTTTTTGAATCTGGTGAAACCCCAACCAGCAGGGTTGACAGGAAGGATTCCCACATGAAAACCGCATAAAATGACCTACTTTCTCCTCAAGATCTGCTCATTAAGATCCATATGCTGTTCACATACCAAAAGATCCTGAGAATACGACAGCCTCCCCAAACCACGCCTCCACCAGGTTCCCCTGTGTTTGCAGCCGTTGCCCTGGGCCCCCCTGGGCCCTATGCGCTGCGCAGAACCACCCGGCTCATCTCCTCGGCGCTTTTCGCCTTGTTGAGCACGACTTGACGGTCTCGGTGCTGCTTCATCTCTTCAATCTGCGTGTCAGTCGGACGCGGCGGGTCCCGCGGCGGGTCCCAGTCGGTGAGGTTCCTCCACCAACACATGCGCGATCAAGCGCCTTGAGTTGCTGCTCTGCTCGGCGCTGCTCATTCTGCAGCTGCCTCAGGCAGAACTTCTAAAAAAAGCAAGTTTGGACATGGGCTGTCAACCAAAATGCATGACACCCAGACCTTGTCGTCCAAACTTGTCCTCGATGAATCATGTTGAAAGCTCCCAACCACTGGAGCAAATCTCCAAACGATTTCTCTACATCAGTGTAGTGGTGTTGGGAGGTGACCTGTAAACAGATTGGACACGAAAAAGAGATCTGAAAAGTAACTGCCCTCTAAAGATGTCTCGGAAGTCTTTTAGGATGTCCATTTCGGAGTGATCAGCCCCTGTCAGGCGACGCAAGTCCAGTCTGCTCCGAGGTGCCAAATCTTGGTACGCTCCGCCTGACCATGCGGACTGGGGTTCGGACCATGCGGACTCACGGGTGGGTTTGCCCTACCGCTTGAGAGTGAAAGTAGACATGCAAAGAGCACCCAAATTCTGGATTAGCTGGCAAGATTGGAAACATGACAGAGCTCTTCTCCAACATCTGGAAAACAACCTGGGATTGGAACTATCTGAGTCTGCTACTTGCAGTGATGAAGAGAACTAGGGTGACTCTTCCAGGCATACCACCGAAAGTACCGCAGCAGACCCTGTACAAAGACATTGGGTAATGAGCAAAATTACTATATTCTAGTATATATTATCGTATGCAAATGTCTGCTCTGGCACTTGCTACATCTAATACACATTTAAAACAAAAACAACAATAAAAACAAATTGTGCATCGGTTCAAGTTTTACGCAATATACCGCATGCAGCTGCGGTACAAATTTCCAGCATCATCCCGGCTGAAATCTAAATCTAAAGTATGTTTAAGTGGATTTCCTGAATACATCTGAAGACCAACAACATGGGTGACACAGCAAATGACTGAATAGCTCATGTCATGGATGCAACAAAACGCCCAACAAACTCGCATTTTGGACATATGATGCTTAAAAAAAGGACCGGCCAGGACGTTGCTTGCGTTTGCGGGTCCGGGTTTGCTTAAGTGCTTTCATGCTTGCAAAGCAAGAAAACTACAACACACGTTTATAGACTGCAATAAACTACAAATCAATAAACATCCAGCTATAAAAAGAAATCAAGTTTCAGAAACCGCAAAACAACACACACACACACACAAACAAAAAAAAACTCCCAGTGACCAAAGACTTGGCCTCCATCTCCAGGAAGTGTTCGTCTTCGACTCTCAGGCGCTCCTCGTCACTGTCGTCTCTCACGCGACGCGCGGCCTCTCGTCGTGTCGTTCGAGAAACGGTCCGTCGGCGGCGGCGGCCGCGGCGCGGCCTGTCGACCGGTCCGTGGCGAAACAGGGAGAAACGGTCCGCAGTGACTGTACAGTTCAACGGATGCCCAATGGAAGCCTACAAGTAGTGTGGGTAGTGTACTGGGGACCTTTGGAATGGTCCAGGTATGTATGTATACATATGTATACCATCATAGTCAACT